GTCTGGTCTATCTGGGGAATGTCTTTTGTCCCAACCATACGAAACCATTTTTCAAATGCAATGCAAACCAGCAGAGCAGAGCAGAGCTGTGCAGTCCGAGGAGCAGCAGATAGGCAGGCGACAATGTCGAATGGCGGCGACAGTCGGGGGGCATCAAAGTCGATTATCACAGTTTGTTGGGATTTGCCTTAAATCACGCACCAGTCAGACGGTAGACAGCAGTCGGCAGTCGGCCGCATCGAGATCTTCGGGGGCAACAGCTCAATTAAAATTCTTGGAATACGCTCAACACTTTTCTAGGCCCTCTCCACTCTGGTCTTTGTCTGTGTCTGCTCGTCTGCACACAATATTTTCTAGGCGGTTTTGTGGTTTTTGATGTTCCGTTTTCCGTTTTCTGCTGCTGCTGCTGCTGCTAATCTGCTAAATTAATGATAATGCGCGCGGCAAAGTCGTAAATATTGCAGCACCAGCGGCAGCAGGAGAATGCCAGTCTGCTTGCTCGACTGACCATTGTCCGGAGCAGAGCCACAGTCAGAGTCAGAGTCAGAGCCCTCTGCTCTGGGAACATTGAAATCTAGCAAATCTCCCCGTCTTAGTTCTAATTCTTTTCACACTCCAGCGCTGCCCCTTGACATGTCAGGGGATTTGGGGCGGCAGCTTGGGGGACATTGAGTAAGGGGCACGGAGATGGGGTTGGGGATTAGCCAGCGCCATGTCATTCAATTTGAATTTGAATTTGCATGAACAGAGTGAGGCCCGGAAGCCTGGACCTTTTCCATTGGAAAGATAGCGCGGCAATCGCATGGCACTCGACTCGACTTGACCTACCCCCAAAGATCGTCAACGGATGCGAGGCATGCGCAGTGATCCCTTCCACACTGGAGAGGGGAGGGAAGTGACCCGCTGTTGACCCACTGAGTAGCTGGCGGCCATATTTACCAAGGGATCAAATGGGCGTGTTGTGGGAGGTTTGCCCAAAGTGCATGCTGCCAGAGGGTAGGTAATAAAAGCATAAATATATTTATTATTTATATTGTCCATAATTTATTTCAGTTAAAATTGATTGTTAAATCTTCCACATACTCCTGTTTATCTTTAGCTTTCACATCGGCAGGGTATTCCCAGTTCAACCTAAAGCTGTCCGAGGTCCCATCTATGTTCGGGATGTCCTGCTGCTGTGTCCCTGTGTGTTGTATGTGTCACTGTCCCTCCTGCTGCCTCCCTTTGCAGCTCCCACATGGCCAAAGCCAAAGTCAGCCATGTGACGATGGCAATTTGCATTTTATTGTGTGGGTTAGCCTCGTGTGTTAGCCACTGGGTGACAGGGTGACAGACATTAAATAATTAACTCTCATTTATCATTTATAAGGATGCAGAGAGCACACAGACAGCGCCAAGTAGTCCCCAAAAGAAAACATTCAACCTACGTAAGTAGCAATTGAATTAAAAACCAATAATATCAACCAACAAAAAAATACAAAAATAACAAGCTCCAGAGGGACAGAGAGTGGAGAAGAGACATGCAAAGTGATTGAGTGGGTGGCCTGGGAGAAGTCTGTAATCGGAACATGTGTAGAGATATTTATTTAACAAACATTTCGAAGTATCAAGAGCGAAACCAGAGGCACGCAGCAAGCCCAGACCCAGACCCACACCCACACCCACACTTAATGGGAGGCAGAGGCAAAGGCAAAGAAGGGCAAACAGGAAACGGGCGGAGATGGGCAAAGGGACAACGACAATTGAAATGCGATTGGTAGATGGGGTGGCGGGCAGAGAACACGATGGCAAATCAAAGGTGAAAAGATGTGAAAAGCAAACGGAACGTGCACCGGCAGCATTTAACCCAAACTCCCAGGGCCAGAGCCAGATCCATCTACAATCTCCCGTCGATACTCAGAACCATTTCCATACCGTACCCGTGGAGCCTTCTCCGACTGGGAGCCGGGAGTAAGCCGCTGCTGGGACACACATGACGTATTGGCACGAGTCCCTCAGCAGTTGCGAGTTCCGAGCTGCGAGGTCGCAGAAGCTCTCCTCTGTGTGCTCTGGTAGCGATCCCCTGCCTGCTGCCTGCCCGCTCCTGGGGCACTTGAAAGCCCCGGTCGTATCTTGATTGTTTGCATGTAAATCTGCACAAAATCCCCAAAGTACCCAAGTACCTAGAGTACCCAAAGGAAGTGGAGATAGAGAGAGAGAGAGAGCGGGAGTTCTTGTCGGGCACCACGTATCGTTACCCTGATGTGAAGCTGAAGCTCACACCATCATCATCATCGTCATGATGGCCTTGGCGCATCGTTTCCCAACGCTCTCTGCATCGCTCAGCATCTCACGGCATCGCCATCGTCATCCTGGCAATCCCTTGCACAATTGAAACGTATGGGAGGGGCGGGAGGAAGTCCAGAGTCCAGAGTTACCTGCGCCACTTTATCCCGGCGGCTTCCTTCTGTCCTCCGCACAATTTTCTGCAACTATTTGTGACGACCCTGGGCATACCCTGCAGCAGGTCAAAGTGCTGTCATATTTGTTCTATATTTTGCAGCTATTTCTTTGCCATTTCCTTTCTTGTGGGACACCTTTTAGTGCTGCTCGTTTGAGTAGCGCCTTTGAGTATGTTTCACATGTTGAAACTTTCATTCTTTTGGGACACTCTCTGCCAGCACTTTTGCCAATGCCCTGTCCTGCTGCCACATTGTGGGGCCAATTTTCCGATTTTCTACGATTTTCCCGTTCGTTCTTTTTTTTTTGTCCAGCTGCTGCGTGGCGTTGCCTCCTTCTGCTCCTTTCGCCGCTGTAGTGGCTGCTGTTTCCTTTCTGTTGTTGTCAGGCAAGGCTTTGGATTAAACTGCATTTATTGGAATTTCACAATAAACTAACGAACGAACACCAGTCCCAGTCCCTCCTCTGCCAGGATGCTCCAAAAGGAGCTGCACATAGGCCAAAACCAAACCATGGCATTTGTACAAGTTTTTGGTTTGGTTTGACTCATTTTTTGCTCTCCCCCTGCGTCATATATGTACGACGTATGCCTGATATGTGCCATCCCTCAGACGACTCCCCAGCCCATGTGACCATGTGAACGGATTCCCCGTGAAGGATGTAATTAAAAAACGGCAACATCAACAGCCTCCAACAGGGCAGCAGCCCTGCCAACACAAAAAAAAGATACCCAGCAGGGAGAGAGTGCAGCCTTGTAAACTTGCTGCACACGACTCTCGAAGTTGCCACACCAGTGGAAGCAGCTTCTTCTCCTCCTCCTTCAACCATCCGTCCATGGGGGGGTGGCAAATCGATGAGGGGCAGTGGGGTTCACACAAAGCCAGCGACGGCAATCTCTAACGATATCCATAGCTCAAAGCCAAATCTCTGCACAAACAGGATATACATATGGCTCGGCAGGAGTCAAAGTCAATCCTTGCACATCCATCGAGTAGAGCAGCCTCCACACTGCCTCTGCCACACTGCCACACTGCCACACACTGCTTCCTGAGCATGCCGATGTTGTCGATGATGTTGATGCCGCATCCGTTCCGACTTGGGTTTTGTAGTCAAGCCAGCTTCTGTTTTCCCTTTTGCCGCTACCCTGCCAGCCGTGTCGAGTGTCGGGGTATACACGAATGGAACTCCATGCAACTCATGAGGATATTTATTGGCCAAGCTGGGAGTACTCAATGGCATCCACAAATTCATTCACTCGAAATTCATTTGCTCAAACTTTGATACAGTCCTACTGCATGGATGGATATTTCCTTTGAATCTCTCGTTTGGGGTATCTTTCAGTCGAAACTAAAGTCTTCTGCGACCCATTCTAACTTGTTTTGTTTTTTGTTTTTGTTTCTTCTCCTTGACGGGTTCCGTTTTTTGCGGGTATTTTTCTGTGATATTGAGCCCGGGCTAGCACTCAAAGGAGAGCCAAAGCCAAAGCCAAAGCCAATGTCCTCCCCCCCATCCCTCCCATTTCTCTATCCCCATTCGCTTTCCCATTCTCTGCCACCGACCCTGACGTATTCGGTTTAGTGTGATTTGTATGCGTCCTGGCTGAAGCACCCAACGATAGATGGATGGATGGATGGATGGATGGACCGAAGGACAGATGAATGGACCCTCGGATGGACTTGCAGATGGGTGAGAGATATGAAGTCAAGAGCAGGCCCTGGCTCGCATTGCTATTTCATGCTTAAAAGCAACTGGCCAACTCGTGTCCATCGTATCGAGTTGAAAGTGAAACGGTTGGCCTTAGCCTCCCATCTTGACCAAATTGCTTGAAAGGAATGCAGCAACAGGAGCAATAATAACTAAAGGCCAATGCAACAATAACTTGATAGAAGGAATCCCCAGGAGAAAACGAATATTGACTAGAACTAGGAAGCGAAGAACTGAACATTAAATGTTTGCAATATTTTGTTTATATTTTAATTTTGATTGCGGATTTCTTTGCTAGAAAAAATGTTTTCCCCTGCCTGTGCCTGTCTCTGTTCGGCTGTTTTCCTGGCCGCAACGGCCTGCTATTGCTCTTCTTTTGCCTGATCAATGTGCTCCAACAGCTCTGCTCCATCGGCTGGCCATTCCACACGCTTCGTTTTTTTCCTCCGAGTGTTTCCCGTGTGTGTGTGTGTGTGTGTAAGCCCCATGGAGGTGCAACGTTGGATGTTGCTGCACTCACATCCGTAACATGGCGGCTTATGTGTTGCCGGTTGCCGATTCCCCGGTTGTCGGTTGTCGGTTGTTTGTTGTCGCTGCTCTGCTCTCCTCTGGCCTGCCCTGCCGCCTCGTTATGACTTTCTTTTTTGCCTAGACTTACCCTTAACCCACTCCAACTACTGCTGCCACCCATCTCTTGTTGCCCTGGGTGATGTGAACTCTCAATATCGAGTGGATTTGCAAGTGTCATTTGTAGGCAGGTGATGGAGCTCAAAGTGGGGGCCATCCACAGTGATTTACATACCTGAACTGAAAGGAGCGCAAGAGACCACACCACAGGGTCAGCGAATAGTCAGTCCATGCTTCGAGATTTATTAAACATTTATAATTAATCAACTAAACGGAATCAATTTATATCTGCTAATTCTCCTCTGGTTTCAGCTATTCACTCTATGGAGAGTTTTCCTTGGCCAACACGATCTGCTCCTGCTGCACACCCGCGGCTCCAATGTCCTTCTGCTCGGACATGTTTTTGGGTATTTTAATAAGCTCCATCTGTGGGAAAGAAGTCACGGGACTAAGCCAGTCGTTAGCTCATTGAGAACCGAGACATACCTCTGGTTCACCGCAGGCTCCATTCTCCAGAGTCTTCACGTCGGCAGCCTTTGTCTTCTGTGCATCTTTAGCGACCAGGTTGTTGGCCTTCTCATTCATTTCCAGCAATCCCAGAGCATCTTCCCCGGCTCCAATGTTCTCTTTGGGTTCCTCCATTGAGTTCGGAGACATGGAAATCTGCAACTCTTCGGCTTCTTCGGTAAAGAGATTTACCTGCGGTTCACCGCTGGCTCCAGTGTCCAGAGTCTTGGCATCTTTTCCATCGGTCTTCAATGACTTTTCGGCGGCCAGGTTGCCCTTAGCCTCCTCAGTCTCCTTGTCAGCGACATAGCCCGTGTTCCTCTCGCGGATTGGGAGATTGGGAGCTTGATTCTGTGGCTTCTGGATTGCCTTCCCAACTTTTGGGACCAAAAGCTTCGAGCCGGGCTCGCAGCTGCCCTCTTTTTTGGCCAGTTGGGACTTGGCTTCAGCTGAACTCATTGCCAATTGCTTGCCCATGCCCTTGCTTGATATCTCGGGCTCTGCCATAACGGAGAGCATCACCTGCTTGATGTGCCTGTCAATCGCACTGCGATCTTTTGATTTGTGACCCTTGAGCTCTTCCAAACTCTCGACCAAATCGACATCGTTCTTTGCTTTGGATTTCGCGGCTTTCATCTCGGACATCAGCTGCTCCACCAGATGCGGCGCCTTCACATCGTGCCAGGAGTTCGAATAGGGCTTTATGGGGCGAATGGCGCAGTCGATCTGGAAGAACTCCTTCCAGTACACTGGCACAACGGACTTATGGCCGTTTGGAAAGAGCTGCTTGAAGGGATCCTTTGGCTCTGGCGCCTTTCGCATCAACATGCGCTTTATTTCGGTCATCTTCGGCTTCATGCGACCCTTGACCCTGGGAGCTTTGCGAAGAGGAGCCTTTACCACAGGCTTTTCGCACGACGGCACTCGTGCCTTGGTGTCAAGGAACCTTCCGTTACGCTGTGAGTCTGGGTGGACAAGAAACCGTGGCGATATTTACCCAGAAACTATTCTCCGGACTACTGCAAATACAAACCGCATAGGAGGGAGTGCTTCACGGCGGATGAGAGGACAGCCTCTCGCATATCCATCAGTCGGAACATCGTGTTGGGTCTTGTCTTTTTTCCTTTTTCCTGCAAAAATTTCACTTTTCTTTTGAAGTCAAACAATTAATTTATAATGCAATTCTCAAAGCCTACCAAAGACCAGCCAGATCTGTTCACACATTTATTCTGAGCTGACAACCCTGAGATTTTATTAACTTGCGAATGGCGGCCACCCTGGAAGCTATCGATTTTCCTTTAGGCTTGCCGTTGCCTGCGCGGATTTGCATTTTCGAGCTTAAATTTTGAAGCTATTGAATCATATAAAATGCACTCAGAGCAGCGCAGAGAAACCCCGTCCCAGAGGCTGAATCAAAGCCTAGTGCTATGGCATCCATTTCCTCTTGGAATTTCCATTTTCCCACATCAAATTTTCCTTTTTTTCATTTTTGCATTTCGGTCAGCCCTTAGACTGGCCGAGTTTCTCTCACCATTCCGTACCCTGGACAGGGCCGTCTCTTTTGACGTGAACTGCATACATATTTATAGTTCCGCTTGTTGACAAATATCGCGCCATGTTGACTGACTGACCGACGCCCCGCACGGCACTGCCCCCCACGGCTGTTAGACAGAACGTGGCACTGAAACTGGAACTGGGGGAACAGCGACCTGCAACTGTTAGTGGCAGAGGAAACTGGCAGCGGAAGCTGCACTGATTAGAAACATGGTTGGGGCCCAATGAAGCTGTGTCCGCCAAAAACAAAAACAAAAACAAAAGAAAATCCACGTAAAAAACACTGAGGGGCATACAAAAAATAAAGCACGCAAGCTAGCCGAGGCCCTGGAAATGGAGAAGGACTCCACACTCCATACATCAGCAGTGGCAGTGGAATTTCAAAGGAACCTGCTGCCTAAATGGAGTGTTGTAGTATTAGGTTTACCAGTAAAAATAAGCAAAGTTGAATAAATCTTGTGACTATCTTTAGGGTTAGCCAAGAAGGCCTTAAATATTTTTTAAAAATTAAAAAAACCCATTTTAGATGACTTCAATAATTGTAGGTAACTTTAATAAACTTGCACTCCTCATGAGCTACTAAAATATTCATATATTCAAATATCCAGCAGAAAGATGTATCCCGACAAACAGGAAGTTTTCTTCAATTGAAAACACCATAAACTCTGGGATAGTGTAAAATCCAGTCGTCTTTTTGGCAAGCAATTCCCAGCCAAATGAAACTCTGCTGTTGAGTGCCGCCCCAGAAAATCCTGTGCCATGAATACAAAATGGTCTCGGACACGCTACGCCGATTTGTTAGTTTGTTCCGAATATATTTTAGTGATTGAAATATTAATGTGTGGATGTGTGGAGTGTGTGTGTGAACAGGAGCAGAAGGATGGATGTGTAGGATGTAGGCTGTGGGATCGATGGCAGCGCCGGCGCTACGCTTTGCTTTGTTCAGCAATTTGTGGCAACAATGGAGTTGCTTTCCCACAAAAGGCGGCACACAATAAAAGCCAGTGCAGGTCCCCGGGCTAAGCCTCAAGGAGAAAGGAGAAAAGAAGGAGCCGCTAGAGGATACACATGTGTGGCCGTTGTCGGGGCTTTCACATTAGCAAATCTATTAGCATTTGGCTAAGCCGCACTTAGACCTAATGTGGACGAGCAGAGCAGAGAGAGAGAGAGAATGAGGATGAGGATGCGCGCTAGACTGGCTGTCTGTCGAAGGGCAGGCCCGTACAGAGACCAAGGACCAGGGCTAATCCTTTATCGTTGGCCGGCGATCGTGCAGGTCCTTTGTTTGGGTGCATGGATCGCCTGGCCATTGTGCAACCGACACTTGTCTTAATCCCCGCCCAGCAACAAAAGCACACCCGGCCACAAAAGGTGGCCTGTCCGTTCAGTCATACGATCCGAGACCGAACTGCAGCGATGAGATGCGATCTATGAGCTGGCGGATCATAGCCTCCATCGATCGATAGCCCTTTGTTTTGCCTCTGCTTCTGTGGGCTCGCCCAATTGATCCACTCAAGATAAATTAAGGCCACAAAGTACAAGGAGCATGTGTAAGCTTAGCCCATGGGATTGGTATTTGGTTTGTTGGTTTACAGGTTTTTTTCCTGGCAGGTCTCAGCCCCTAGGTAGCAGGTTCTTCGCAGACGGCATGGCATTTCTCTTCCGCTCGATTATCACCTACTGAATGGCATTCAAACATATTTTTCCAACCATCTATCGCAAGCAGAAAATAGCGAAAAAGTTAAAGGGAGTTCGGTGGATATACAACAATTACAAAACAGCAAAAGTTTATTACGAGAAATCCATGAAAATCAATGGAATGCGAGCCATAAAGAGAGAGCCAAACAGAAACATTTCAGAACACATGGGGGGGAGGCATGCCATGGAATGGTATTGGAATGGATTGGACTGGCTTGTTGTTCCTTTTGCTGTGAGAGCCGAGAGTGCAATTATTAAAATAATGTCCACAGCCCATTGAGTTCATAACGCGAATGAGGCCGCAATAAAATAAATAAATGAAGAGGAACTTGTCCTCAAATGAGGCATGCAAATGTCGCCCGACGAAAATAACAATGCTGGAGTCATAGCTATGGCTTGGTAGTGGGGGTGTGGGGGGTGGGGCTCACCCCAACATCATCGGCGTTTCTATCATGGTCGCCGGCATCGTCAATGTCCATGTCCTGGCCAGCGCCCATCCTGCGCTGAAATTTATTAAAAAGAAAAGGCAAAAAATGCTGAAACGAAAATAACATCAGCGAGACTCTGCATTGGGCACTGGGCACTGGGCACTGGGCTGGATGGATTGCTTAATTTCGGCCATTGGCCACATCTGTTGGCCCTAAAGATTCAAGATGGGGAAATATTCTACGTAAGTTTATTAAAGGAAAAGTGGGAAAGTCTTTGCAAAATGCTGAATAAGAAGCAACAAAAAAGATTGAAGCAGCTCAAAATTGCTTCAATTAAGGGACAATTCTGACATATTTTCAGGGTAAATTTAAGGCAGATATTTGAGTGAATATTTGGCATGCAATTATCGAATTATTTCTTAAAGTAATCATAAATAGAACTAAATGTTTTACTGCTGTTTCCCCGTTTCATATCACAGATCGAGAGACCCTGAGACCTTTCAACAGCAACACTTTCCCACCATTAAGATCGCTTGACACTTTTTTGCCAATATATTTTGCAGGGTCTGTCAGTGCAGAAATTGTGCAAAGAGCTGTGACTGTGACTGTGACCTGACCCCCAGTGACGGGCAGCTTAACCCGTGCCAAGTGCGAGGGGCACACAAAAAGTTCGAGAAGTTCAAGTGGAGATACAATTTCGTTGCAATTTTTCGGACAGTTTTAGTGCTTCGCCGGAACAACGTGAGCGTCGGTGGTGGTTGGTGGTGCGTGTTGCTGCTCTCGTTCCACTCTCAGTTGCAGTTACAGTTACGGTTACAGTTAAAGTTACAATATCATGCCTACACTCTATGCAGCAACCTTCCACCTTCCACCGAAAACATAAGCGGACGGATGGACGGACGAATGGACGGAGGGGTCGCTTAAATGCGGTTTCACGTTACACATGTGCGTCTAATTAGCGACTGTTTAACGATAACAAGCGACGGCGGCTGTGGGTACTGTAACTAATATGCCAGAAAATTAGACTTGCAGGGCACACACACACACACACACGTAGAGAAAGGACACAGGACAGGACAACACTCAGAGCGCCTCTGTTAACGAGCATGAAATTATTATCGAAATGCAATTAATGAGTGCGACAAGCGGGAACACGGTGCTGCCCCAGAAGAACTCAACTGAGAACACTCGGACACAGGACACAGGACACAGGGCACAGGGCACAGGATGTTGCACAAACACTTGCATCGACACTTGTCCTCACTTACGATCACAAACAGGTCATCCCATTCCATTTACCATCCTGTCTTATCTCTACTGCAAGCTGACACTCCAAAGAGGTCGCTCAAATACTCTTTTCACACGAATTCCGGCGCCAGGCGACCATCTCTCGCCTCAAGTGCACCCTGGCCAACACTTCCGTCTCCGAGTCAACGAGTCTCCCAACGAATCTCAATCCTCCAGAGAGTCGCCCTGCAACCCTGCAACCCTGCAACCTGCAGCAGCTGTCTCTGCCACTTTGCATATCATGTGTGGGAAGCGTTTGGATCTCTCTCTTTAAGTCGGGGGGCCTGGGGCCTGGGGCCTGTGTGGCCTCAGCAGGGTTCCACAAATCGGATTTGGAGCTTTAGGCGTTAATAATTTGAGCACCGACCCCGCTTCTGATAAGTGAAAGAGCAGCCGCTTTCTGTTTCATCCGGACAGCAGCAGTGACCCTTTCCATGTGACACACTCTCTCCTTTGATGGAGTTGACGGGTTCCTCTGCAGTTCTCTGACGATTGTTCACTTCTTCCATAGAACATTGCTGCTATTTTTGCTGCTATTTCCATTTTCTAGTGTATTCCCTTCTTCTGTGTGACTTGCCTTTACGCTTTCTTTGCCTCCCCCAAACAGTTTTTTGTTTGTTCGACTTTCTTTTGTTTCGCACAAATTTAGTTACCCCCCTCGGGGGCAAGGGTTAGGGCTAGGGTGGGGATTTTGTAGGTTTCGGGTATTCGGGTTCTACATCGATGCCCACTTTGTTTTAATGCGCGCTGATATGTGAGCCGCAGGGCTTAGTCCACACACACGACCCATCCATATCCACCCAAACACTCACACACATGTCCTGCTCTGTGTGTGCGTGTGTGTGTGTGTGTGTGTGTGTGTGTGTGTAGTCCTGGCCAGAAAGTGCTGGCCTGGCCGGGTGTTGATTTTTTAACCGAATCGAGAGAAATTTGTTGGCTGAGATCCGTTGAGGCGTAGACCATAATCAACTTCAGTGGCCAGCAACTCAATTTATACTTTAGCTATAACTCGCAGCAGATGTGTATGTGTGTGTGATGTGTGTGTGTGCAAAGTAAAATAAAATAAAATTGAAAAAGGATTTCCGTTTGTAGTCCCTTGGTCGGTCAACCATTCGACCAAAGTCTATCAATATGCCAACAGAGTGGAGACTCCTTCGGTTCGATTCGATTTGCTTTCCTTTTTTT